GAACTGCCTGCTGAGAAGCTGCAGCAGAGGTGGTATAAATGGCACTGGGGGGGGCAAATGCAAAGCAGAGCGCCGAGCAGCGCCGAGCGCGCAGGGCCCAGCAATGCCAGGGAGTTTCCCACGGGCACTGGGTGGATTCAGGATTAGGTGGCACGGAGCAGCTTGCTCGATTCCCACCCCCACCCAGCTTCCCCAGCTGGGCGGCGCGTCCAAGTTGGCGCCCCGATCCCAGCGCCCGCTTCCCCATGCAAGCGTTGCATCAGCACGTGAACCCGACCTGACCCCCGCGCCAGTAAACACCAGGGTGTGGTGGCAACACCCCTGCTAGCTGAAACCTCTGCTCCCGCCCGATAAGGCCTCGCGCTTCCCAGGCGCCTGCCTACACGCAGCCGGCGGCGTTTGCTCAGGCGAGCGAGATCCGGCAAGTCCCCCGCTAATGCTGCCCGGGGGGGCTTCTGGCATCCATGCACCCAGCTGCTCAGAGCCTGGCTCAAAGCAGCGGCTGCAGCTCTGAGCCAAGAGGAGGTGGCGATTCCCTTGGTGGCAATCTCCAGCCTGCACTATGCAGGGGATGGGACCAGACCAGACCCTTTTGGCCTTAAAAGTCTGACCCGACAAGAGACATCTCCGCACCTATCCCACCTCCCACACACACTGCTGCCGTGAAAACCCTCCCCCACGCACCCCCCACATCCCTGCGCCTGACCCACTTCTGCAAGCTTACACCGGGAAGAACAGCTCCCGCCCTCCCTTGCCTCCTCCCCCACCGCCAATAGGGCCAGCTGTTGCTAGGGCTCGATTTTAACTTATCAGCGCTGGCCTGGCCATGTGCCACCCCCCTCCCCGCCCCCCCCAACTTAGAAGCAGCTAATGAGCAGCCACGCGGGGCTTGCTAAAGAGCATTATGTAACCCGAGTCTCCCTTTCTAGAATGCACTCCCGTCTGCAGAGGCTCCGGGAGCCATGAATAATGCAGCAGCCTGCTGAGGACTGGAGCCCCCGAGCCTCCTGCAAGGCCCTGGGGTGGCGAGCCGTGCCCTGAGCACCTGGTGGGCTTCCCGCAAGGGGCGCCTGTAATGCCAGCCCGCTCCATGGTGGGCAGAGGCACTCCCCACCCTGCCCAATGCCTTCAGGGCTTCCAGCCATGTAGCAGCCGACAGGTTTCCCCTTCTCCTATGGTTATGGGGGGCTTAAAAGCAATCCTGCTTTTTCCAAGCTCTGGTTTTCCATCACCCCCCTTGCCTGGGTTTCTTTCCTCAGCTCCACGGCCATCCCTGCAGACCTCTCACCGAAGCCTTCAGAAGCCCAACCCAGGCCCTCAGGCTAAGTGAGGGCTGATTCTTCCAGCTAACCTCAGGCCTCGCTGTGCCTCGAGTTCCCAGGGACCCTCCAGACAACCCCCCCGCTGGATGCTCGCTCTTCTGGGTGGAAAACAGCAACAGGAATCTGCTGGAGCTGAGCCAGCCCTGAAAAGGCCTCTGCATTCCTGGTGCAGGCCAGTCAAAGTGGGAGGGATCGCAAATGGAGCCTTGTCTAACAAGTTCAACCAAGACTAAAAATAACCGGCTGTGAACGCTGGTGCCAGAGCAGAGGCGGGTCCAGAAGTCCAGCTGGGGCTCCAGGGCGGGGGGGTGGGACCAGCAGAGGAGCGAAGGACCAGGGGGCTGCATTGGGTCAGGCCTCCTGCCACAAATGCACCATGCTGGTCGCCTTCCCAGGAGTCTATGAAAGCAGCCCAAGACTCCTGGAAGTCAGCCCACTTTCCCACCCCTCCACCCCCACACAGATTAAGGCTGGAGCAAGCATACTTACTGGTGTGAGCAGCTCCGGGGTAGAGATGGGGGAACAATCACCGTTTAATTTAATACCACTTCCCAGATCAAAATCACAGATCTTCACTGGGGAAACCTTGGGCAGGAGGAAGAAGCACAGGAGCCTATTACCAAAGAGACCTGGAAGGTGTCGGTGGAGTCCACAGTGCTAAAAAAAGGGACCCACCGGATCCAGGCTGCGGACCAGGAGACCTGCCGAGTTACACAAGTCTGGAGCTCATGTGCCTGGTCCCAGCCATGCCCCCCTCCCCCGTGAAATCCCATCTTAACAAATTAAGACCTAAGTTAAATCTACTGCCCCATAAAGCATCGTGATCTCCCCAACTCCCGAGTCCATCCCCCTTCACACCCCCTGCGTGGTGAAGGTATACCTGGGCTCTCTGCAGGCCTCAAGCTACATCTTGCCAGGGGAAGAGCAGGCAGCTGACCACCCCTATCCCCTCCACAAGGCAGCTGCCGTCTCCCAGCCTGTCCCAACTCCAGCCAGGCCCAGAACAAAAAGGATCTGGCCATGGTCTCCACCTGTGCCCAGGTGCCCATGCCTGCCACTCACCTGATCGGGACTCTCACAGAGAATGTTTTCAGGCTTCAAATCCCTGTGCGCTATCCCTGTTACAAATGAGAAATCCCAGGTCAGCAGGGGCAGCAGCTTCCCAGGGTCCCCCCACCCCCAAAAGCATCAGTAACAGGAAGCCAGGATCTGCCTTCTGCAACCATGATCACTGCTCTGGGGCTCTCCAGGAGGTGCAACAGCGACTGGTGTGGGGGGCTGAGCCCCCTCGGTGCTCCAAGCAGCTGGCAGAGCTCAATGCCTCGTCTCTTCAGGGCCTGAAGTACAGGCCTGATACTGGACCAAGTCCCCACCCCACTCCATGCTCTGATAAAACCCATGCTTTAATGGCTGAAGGGCAGAGGCAGATAGGATCTCACAGGCCAGGTGAGAGCACTGGCGTCCGGCTCAAGAATAAGCGTCCTTCTAGCCCTGGTCTCCCCCTGCCGCTGCCTATTCCTAGAGGGCAGGTCCCAGAGTGCGGCTCGTGTGCTGCCTACCTTTGTTGTGCAAGAAGTTAAGGGCACTGGCTATGTCCTGCACCACCACGCTGGCCTCCAGCTCATTGAAGTGGCGCCTCCTGTGGATGTGGGTCAGGATGGAGCCTGCGGCACATACCACAGAGTCAGCCACAACAAATCTGCACCTTTCCATACCAGTCTCCCACCACCACCCAACACCAGAGACAGATGCTGCCGCCTGGGCTCTGGTTCCAGAGCCCATCCCCATAACACCTGTCAAAGCCGAGATCAGGGGTTTTGCATGGCCAAGAGCCTCAGCCCTGGGAGACGGCAGGTGGCACGAGCTTGGAGGGCTTCATATGCCACTGATCACTACAAGGGACCTATGCCTGGGCAGCAGTGCACCAGTAGCTACCTACCACCATTCCCCCACCTTCCCCCACGACAGAGGTGAATGGCGCTATAGGAGCTAAGGCAAACCCTGCTGGGACATTTACCTCCTCGCATCTTCTCAAACACCAGGTAGAATTTGTCTTCCTCTTCAAAAAACTCTATCAGCTCCAAGACGTTTCTGGAAAAAAGTGGCAAGGGGACGATCAAGCCACCCATCTATGCCAACAAGCTTCCCACCCTTTGCTGCCCAGCCACTGACGGGGGCCTGCTGTATCACCAACTTCCTCACTAAAGCCGACTTCCCAGGGGACCGCCGCCCAGACATGTATACACGGGACACATGCCAAAAGGGAACTGGGTTTCAGTTACTGGAACCAGAAGGCTTGGACCCGCAGCTGGGCGGGGAGCATTTTCCCAGTGCCCTGGTAGATGGCTTATCTCTACCGCGGCCCTAATTGCAAGCAGACACTTCCCTTGGCCAAAAAGCTGCTTTTGAGAAACAGCACCGCTCGGCATTTTCCTAGGAAGGACAGTTAACATGGAGCCACGGGCTACTCTCCCCATTCTGCAGCAGTTAAACCAAACTGTCCACAAAGCGTACCCACTTCCCCAAAGACCGTATGCCCCGGTATCCGGAGCCCTTCAGACTCATCTTGAGAAACGGCTCCCAGCCTAATGTCATTCAGCTGCTCTCCTACAGCCGAGCCAGCTGCAGCAAGACTGATCCCCGCACCCATAGGAAGAGTTTGAAGGAGCCCAGGAATGCTCTCCAAGAGCCCACAATGGCATGGCTGGAGGCAACCTGATCATCCAGAGAATGGGCAGGTACATGGAGGATCTCAGCTAGCTGGTGAAGGCTTCCCCCTGCTCCAGAAACAGCAAACCCTGCGGGTCCCCAGCCTAGCATGAGTGCAGCAGCCCCAGCACACCTGTGTCCTTGGCACTGATACAGCATCTCCACCTCTCGAAACACACGGCTCCGGATGTGTCCAAGGCGCTTCTCGATGATCTGAAACAGAAATGAAGAGAAAGGCTGAGATGGGGACGGGGCCCTTTGCACTGCACGTGGGAGCCAGGCTCAGACCAGCCCAGCAGACCTGGCAGAGCGAGGGAAACGAGGGGGTCCCATGGGAACCGCACCAAGCCTCAGGCCCTGAGCTCATTGCCTGCAGCACTCTCCCTTTGCAGGCCGGACAATGCTAGACGACTTAGACAAGAGCCTCCTGCCGGTTACCAGCCCACGTGGCATCCCCCTCCACACAGCCTGGCAGCACATCCCCGGAGCAAGCTGCCCTCCCTAGTGCTAGATGGGGCGCGAGGCGATGGCTGCATGAAAGGGTTAACCAGCTGCAGGGGAGGCTACTTTCCTTCCAGCCTAGGTCCATCCCACCCCTCAGGGAGATGACAGCCCTGGGCATGCCAGCTTCTCCTCCCCACCCTCCAGCACAAGGGAGGAGCCACCCTCCTTCCAGGGAGAGGCAAACAAAGACTCATGCGACAAGGGCACAAAGCACACTTCAAAGGCCAGGCCTGGAAGCCAGGCTGCAGAGATAAGGGCCCTTCCCTCCTCCTGCTCTGCCAGGGCCTCCTTTGGCAGGGGAAAGTGCTGGCCCCCAGACAGGCACAAGATTATCCGGGCCGGAGTCCAGCATGAGCCAAGCCGGACCAAATGCAAAGCGGCCGGTGGGTGCAGGGAACGGCTACAACAGCAGGACAGAGGTTGCAATCCAGCTTCCTGCAGAGCCGTTCCAGTGCAAGGAGCTCTACGGGAAGACTGTGTAAACCCTCCATTCTTGGAGGGGGGGGGGGGGGGGGGGGGCAGAGGGGCAGCCACGTGGCTCGCTACAGCTTGCTTGCCCTGCTGCAGTGGTGGGCAGGGGACAAATTTAAGACAACTTTCCAATAATTAGATTCCAGACATGAAAAATT